GGTCGAAATAAGTCGATGGGAGATTGGCGAAAAGAGAGGAGCGCGAGCGCCGTTTAGGGTCTACCGTCGGGCGAAGCCGCCGGGGAAGCCGCCGATATCGCAAACCCCCCGCAATTTCCTTTTCCAATTTGCCATAAACAAGTCGACCACCCACCTCGTTAACCGACTACGCCTGGCGACTGCTCTCTCGAAAGTTCGACTTTCGATCTCTTAAATGATGGAAAGTTTGTCGTTGGGTATCGTCGAACAATCACGTTGGAAAAATTATTTAATTGACGCATGAGCGGAGAATTTTTCTCAAACTCTTGCGCGTCGATTAAGAATTTCACCGATTATCTTAGCGTTTAAATAGCGATATGTCGAAACGTTGTTTCGCGACACTAGACGTGGAAGATCTCGCCACAGAGATTTCGTGGCTGAGAGGTAACGAGACCGAAGTTTATTGCAGGCGCGGTGTCAGGCGCGGCGGCAACGCAAATCAGGGACGATGGCAGGCATTTTGAGGGTGTTTATGAGGCATTATGTGTAACTCGCTGGAAGAACGATCTCTACCCTTCGGGGTTTACAGCCTCTCTCCGGTCCTCTCTTCCCCGGCTTCCACCTACGTCTAGCGAAATTTCTAATTCATCGGTTGTACACGAGCCGGGGTCAATTGCACGTGAAAATCGCCTTTCTCGCGCTCTCCGAAATTTTCCTGCAATAATCCTATTATGACGAAATATTCTGATTTATCTCGTAATTTATAAGATCGGAAAACTGGGCGTTCTTTTTTTTTTTTTTTTGAACGTTTTCTCTTTTCGACGCTTCTTTATGCGTCGAGGATTTCGATGGTATCCTTCGTACGCGCAAACAAGCCTGAAAAAAATTACTAATCCACGTGTATGTCGTACGTCATTTTTATCCCACAAAATATTGCTTGGTCGCAGACTCGATCGAGAGATGGATCCATAAAGATTATGACGTTCGAGCTGGCTGTAGAATTTTCCGTCACGCTAGACTCTTTCGAAAGATTTTTCAAGAATTTTTTTTGCTTTTACAGCAATGTATTCCGTTAGTATTTCTCAAATTTACGGATATTTTACGGAAAACGTGTGCAAGTATATGCAAATTAATTTTTTCTACAAACTGTTGGACTCCGTATCCGAAACGTGCGTTTTCCATTCAAGTTTTTGCCGGGGACGCAAAAATATCCTCGCAACGATTTAGCAAGCCAAAACGAGTCGGGTGAGAAATTAATTCGGGCAAGGTTTGGCTCGCGTCCACTTATGCGACAAGGATTGTTGCGAGAAGACACGGAAAACGCTCGCGTTCGCCCCAAGTTTACCCAGGGATCATGCAGTGTTAAAAACTCCCCTGTTTGCCGGTGAGGCGAGTGCGAGGGTTGCTCGGATCGTTATTTCGGAGTGTTTGCCGTGTTTTAAGATTCTGACGTTTTGACTACCCGAATCGTGGTAAACGAGGCCGCGTGTACATCGCCGTGACATGTTTGAAAGGAAACCTTTCTCTTTTTTCTTTCCTTTTTTTTTTTATCTACATACGTGCATCCGCACGAGATCTCGAGAGCGAACGTCGGGGTTTAATACACTCGAAAATATCGCTCGTATAAATTATTAACAATTCGTATCTTTACGAATTACTTTTTCGCGACGCGCGAAACTGTACCGTTGTAGAAAAATAGATCGCGGGGGGTTGGGGGGGGTAAAAAAAAAAGGATGAGGTTGAAAAGTTTGCTCCTTTCCTGCTCTGCGATTCTGCGATCTGGGCCCTCTCTCGCGTCGCTTCTCTTTCCCCCGACGCCGCTACTCTACTATCTTCGGCTCCTCTTCAAGGAACGAACGTTTGCATTAACCGTTCGTAATGGCTGCGATTATTAGGGAGCATTATTCAGAGACCTCGAACCCCAATTTTTTTCTCCCCTCGCCACCCCCGCGTCTCGGCCGCCTCTTCGGACGAAAGGAACATTGAATTATTGAAACGCGGAGCCGGGAATTAAAAAATCTCCGCGTGCCCCTCTTACCACTCCGCCCTCTCTCCCCCTCTCTTGCCGCGTGGCGTGGCACGAGCGTCAGTTCGCGAGGAGATACCGGGTCACGGTATTTGTCGCGTGAATTAAAAATGAGGAAGGAACGAGGGGCCAGGTGGTGGCCCCTGGTGCTTGGCTTTCGACGCGGGAAAAACGAGGCCATCAGTCGGGGCACCATCTTAATGTAGCGAAGTCTGAATGATTTAAGACGCCGCATCGGAAGGAGGCAGAATCCAGCAGAGAGACCGATCGAGTTTTCGACGTCAACCGATGAGAGTTATTTCGGTGATGCAGATATACAAAGATACCGAGAAAGAATACGGAGAGAAGAAATATATTTTTAGATGTTTTACATATATAGTATCAACACGTTTTAAACAAAAAAAAATCAATGACGTAAATTAAGAGAGTTATATCTCTCCTTATTAATTACTATATTAATATTATTATATAAAAAGATAGGGATTCTCGTATAAAACTTACCTCTACCACTTCTACCGACGAACCTGAGATCGTTGAATTTGGCGACTTGATTTTTCATTAGGGCGGTAGAATTCCGCAATTCCGCGCAACAATTTTCATCGTTCCCGGCTCGAACGGTCACGAGGGTACCGTCTCCGACTTCGCCGAGAGCTACTACCTTAAATGCTACCGGCAGGGTCTTGTTCGACCTCCAATGTGACGGCAATACCGTGCAAACCACATGTGGGCTACCTAATATGAATATAAAAAAGAGAAATTAATAGCTTAATTTTTATTAAAAATTATTCTTATAATATATCGTCACATATTTATTTTATATATATTAAAACATATTTTTCCGAAGCTTGGAAACATTTGAGACGAAGTTTTGTTGCAGGATAAATTTTTACACGAGAGGACCAGTTTTCGCTGGCAATAATCACAACGTCGGGCGTAACGACTTTCAGATGCGACGGCGCGACCGGGGAGCGAGTGGTCATTGAAGCGTTTGTAAAAAGCCCTGGCCTTGCTGCCGGCGCGACGGAATGAGGAGCGAAAAATATCGAGAAAATAAAGTAGGGAAACGTGGAATTAATATATGTGAAAGAAACGGATATGCGCGTATATGTATCCGGGACTCGTACTGCCAGACCAGAGCGGAAAATAATGTTTAATCGGTAGAAAATCTCGGCGCAGTCATCCGCCATAGGAACGGGCCCCCCCCCCCCGGGATGGATTTTTTAATTTTTAATTGGCAAAAAACGTCGCCGAGGTGGTCGCCGGCGAGAGAGATCCGCCAACCGTTCTCGCGGATTTAACTGGCGTATTCGGGTTCTTCTCTCGGAAGCGCTAATATCTTCTAACATTGGAAGTTGTCTCTCTCTCTCTCTCTCTTCAGAGAATTCGTTCGTTCCGCTGTCACTTGAAATTAATTTTTGTATTACAAAAAAATCGGATTTAAAAACTTGCTGTCTATCAAGATATTACATCTTTTAAGAATCTCGATACAATTATATATCTCTGGAAATTTGTATTTTCTCGATAATAGGTTACCTTACATTCACGTTTGTTATTCGATAAATATTTTTATGAACGTTGCTAATGAAGCGTTCGTGGCTCGTTATAACTCGCGGGATTAACCAATAGAGAGTAGAACTCTTTAGTTACGTAGATTGGACACGCTTCAAAGCAAAGGATCGCCGATGCGAGCGGTCGCAACAGCTGTTCGATCGACCAAACACGCGCGCGAGAGCCGCTATTTTAAAAGGTCGACCCTTCTCAACGAGACCTTTACGACTTATTAAATCATTTTCATCTCATTTTCACGGAACTCTTCACGCGACAGCTTCCTCGAATAATTCTTCGCAATCTCGTGTTGTTGCGAAGGAATCCTGTGCCGTCTTACATAAAAGTATCCTCACAATTGTCGTAAATAATAATAAAAATCAATCGCTATTATTAACTGATACTAGGAAAATATTCTTTACAAGAAATATCCTTATAAATATTTTTACGCCGACAATTTAGAGGCGTCCTGTGTAATGACATACATAGATACTGGAATCGCGCATTTTTCTTTTCCAATCGTAAAAGAGATATCGAAGATTCGGATTTGCTCTCGCGTTCAGCGCTGGAACGTTCACCATGCGGCGGCGATTTAAAACGAGTCGTCCTCCTTCCACGAGAGAAGGGAGAAAGAGAGAAAGAGAGATAGAGAGATGCAGCTCCGGGCGAGACGGGCGATCCGTTGCGCCAGGACATCGGTCAGGATCTGGCTGTCGATAGTCGGAGCTTTCCCTCGGATTCTCGCGCTCTCTTCCTGCCTATACCTCGGCCGGACCGTCATAAAACACAGGTAACTCCGGTATTTATGCCCGTCGTTTTTACGCCCGTCGCCACCCCCCTCTCGTCGCGCCGCGCCACCACCGTTCTCTCTCTCTCTCTCTCTCTCTCTCCCTTCGTCTCTCACTCTACCAACACCAACGCGTAGCATGAGAAACATGCATATACAGCCGCGTCTCCGTACGGCCCGTGACTCCTAGCAGTCGGAGGTTGACGCTAATCCCTGTCGGGAGCCGAAAGGGGTGGCCGAGTGATATACGCCCCTGCGCCGGTATGATAATATTCCGCCGCCGCCACCTCCCTCCCCCCTTCGTGACCCCTGGCCCCTGGCCGTGCGTAGTCGTTATATCCGTTAGCCGCCTCGTACGCCACGCACTAGAAGAGGTCCCTCTTTTGGGTCAGCGCTTAAGACCGAATGAAAGCGATTATAGTCGATTAAAGAGGGTCGTCGGAGCGAGAATCGCCGAGTCAGGGGGGGGGGGAGAAAAAAACTTGCCAGCTTGACGTGTCCAAGTTTTTCTCGCGCTAGACCTCATCCGTGCTGATCCGCGAAAAAATGAGGATCTCTCTCTCTCTTGGAAAACGATTGACTAACATCTGCGAGAAACCAGGAAAATTCCATTTCTCGTCAAAAAATGTGGCTCACAAAAGTATATTAGATTTAATCTACCGTCCGCGTTATATTTTTGGAAACTCGCGAACTCGAAGCTTTCTAATGGGGTTTGAAAAGTCGAAGTTTTCTCGATACCGATGAACCAATTTTGCATCCAGTACAAGAATCGGGTTCTCGCTCTGGTTTTCTTCGTCCGGCATCGATCTCGGTCGCCCCCGTCAACGTCGTCACGCATTTCGACCACGATCAATTCTCCTCGGTCCGCATTCGCAATATTAAATTGGCCTGACAAAGCCCGCGGGCGAGCGTGAGACAAATATTTGCAGCTGAAAAAGTCGGTAGCGGGCGCTCGCTCGCTCGCTCGCGCTCTCGCGTACGGGATGCGTGCAAAACAACGGGGGCAAAAAAGCGAGTGGAACGCGTGAGGAATCTGTATATAAAATGCACTCCGGGGCTCCTCGCCTCGCTGCGGTATTATGCAGCGATACGCGCGACGTGACTCGCCGACAAACATCATAAATTTTCGATTTATTCAACGGGATCTGTTTGCCCCTTTCTTTCGCAGATAATAACGATCGCCTATCGTACATTCGGTCTTTACGGCTAGGTTTTTTTTTTCTCTCTCTCCTTCTCTCTCTTTTTTTTTTTATCGATTGCATATTATAATCGATGATTGGTCGTCAATGTATCGACTTGACTCGAAGATGGTTTGAGTATCTCGCAAACATAAATTAGCGAGGAACGCATTACGAATGCACGCCGATATCTCCTTTCGGCGAGAATCGAATTTGTCTTCTTCGGAATCGGAGTGGCTCGGCGGCCTTTTCCGCCCTCGCGGGGCCCTAGGCTTCTTTGATCCTTATTTCATTATCCTGCCGCGGGAGACGCGGGCGGGAGCAGCATCCGTTTGCAAATTCTTCTTCGTCTCGATTGCCAACTCGCGGAGAAAATTCGTTTTATTGGAATCGTCGGCAATCTCGGCGACCCTTACTTCTGATTCTTTGATCGAGTAGAGCTTCCTCATTAGAATCGATTGCATATTATAATCGATGATTGGTCGTCAATGTATCGAGTTGACTCGAAGATGGTTTGAGTATCTCGCAAACATAAATTCGTGGTCTCGCTGATAGCGAGGAACGCATTACGAATGCACGCCGATATCTCCTTTCGGCGAGAATCGAATTTGTCTTCTTCGGAATCGGAGTGGCTCGGCGGCTTTCTCGGCCCTCGCGGGGCCCTAGGCTTCTTTGATCCTTATTTCATTATCCTGCCGCGGGAGACGCGGGCGGGAGCAGCATCCGTTTGCAAATTCTTCTTCGTCTCGATTGCCAACTCGCGGAGAAAATTCGTTTTATTGGAATCGTCGGCAATCTCGGCGACCCTTACTTCTGATTCTTTGATCGAGTCCTCCGTCTTCTTGACGACGAAGAAACACTCGTGGCTAAGCTGAAAACACGGAAATCCGTAGATCAACAGATTCGTATTTTCTTTCTTTATATCACACGTATTTAAAACACCATCCCGCACCGGCGATTCTCGACGACATCATATTCGTTCACTTTTTTTCCTTAATTTTATTAATGTGTTTTGTTTTTTTTTTCACTAAAATTCTATACTACTAATATCAGGATATATATATCGAAAAGAGTTCTTTTTTTAAATCGTTGTGATTTCGCGCTCACCGCGCGAAGTTTCGTCAAACTTTGGGGAGTACCGCGCACGGCATTTGTCACGTGTATCTATCCCCCGTCGATCGAAGTCTTGATCAATCACGAGAACGGGATGTCAACGGTGAACCGAATGACAATCGAAAATAATTGGTGAACACAGAGGAGAGGAGCTTCGACGACTTGCGACGATCCAGAGCGACAATCACGATCCATTCACGGTACGTCTTCGGTACGCGCACATCAACACTGCGATCCCCGAAATTTTTGCCGCCGCGTGGATCGGCGAGATATCCCCCGGATGTTTCTCACTGGATGCCGGAGTAGTCGCGGTCGCGGTCGCGGCGATGATGGTGATTCTTCACCTGGCCGTTGCTTCGGCGGGTGGCAGGGCAGCTTCTACTCGGAGGAAGTAGGATAGGGTGTTTAACTCGCGCGGTCTCGTTTCGGTTCGGCGGTGGAAGATGGCGGCTTCTGCGGTGGAGCCGCGCGGTGTGGTTGCGGTGTATTTTTGAGGCTGCCGCCCCCAGCCACCACCGAGACCACCCTGGGTAACTCTCTCTCTCCTCGCCCCCTCTTTTCGTCGCCCCCCGCGGCCCGCCGCGCGTCTCTACCACGCCGCCGCCGCCGCCGCCGCCACCGCCGCCTGTACCCGGTCTCCCTGGTGGGGGGTTGGTTTTTCCAAGCGGTGGGGAAAAATCTCCCTGCTTTCTCTCACCACCCTTTTTCTCTCTTCGTCCCGTCACCGCGCCGCGCGCACAGGCCTCTCTCGTCGCAGGACCGACGTTCCCGACAATACTCCCGCCGATGACGACCCGCGAACTACACGAGCCTCGCGCTGTCTTCCGGACTCCGACTCCGTCGTTGCGCCGGACGACGGGGGACTCGCGGGATGTTTAGGGGGAGAAGACGAGCTTCCGGAGATGAATCTCGGCGCCGCATAATTGCGGCGCGAAATCGACACTACGGTCAAACGATGGTTGTAACCGGGTATCACAATCGCTGTTTATCTACGCGGGGCACGGATAGACGAAACGTAGATGCCTGATATTTATGTAGCGAATTATTTCACTTTGCCCTTCAACAACGATAACATATGTATGTGAAAAATATTTTTGTCGAGCGTTGAATTTGCGAACTTTTTTTACTTCACATCTCGTTTTCGAAGTATTATAATCATACTTTGAACACCACTATTTGTATTTGTTTCACTTTTATGATAACATCTTACACTTTTTATTATTCACTAATCACTTTATGATTAATAGTAATTACGAAATTAATAAATCTTTGATACTCACATGACAATTCTTGCGAGAAAATAAATGTAAACTTTTTTCTTTTGATTTCGTCATTTGAGTGATTTATTCACGCGATTTTCTAAGCAGATACCAAGTAAAGTCCGTTAATTTAATTAATCTTGCGGATTGGAACGCGTACTTTTGTTTGTCAAAAGTGGAAAATCTTTTCGACGATTCACCCGCGCGATATCTCGTCTGTCGGCCGGCTTTTTGCCCTTCTCGGTTGATTTCTTCCTGCTTCCGTCGTTCAACGACCACCCCGCGCGAGACTGCGAAACGACACTGGGAAGAAAGGGAAAACAAAGACGGCAGAAAGGCCCCTTGTGTAGTTGCGTTTAGTACCGAGGAGTACGGGGGTTGCGCGATGCTCGGGGGGGTTCTCGGAGAGTGCGGGCGAAGAACGGAGTCGAAACGCCGTCGGCCAGGGTGAGAGAAAGGGAGGGACACGTTGTCGCAACGCACAAGTAGTCATCCCCCAGATTCAGCGGACCAAGTAAAGAAATATGACAAACGTTGCTGGCAAAACTGACGGATCCCTTATTTCACACGCGCGCGCGTAATTTTCAATCCGGCATATTTCGAAGCGCGCGAATGATGATGAAACGAGATTCGAGTTTATCTCGACGCGCAAAATTCCGTCGGCGTCAGATGCGCGAAAAGAAAAATCCGGCCGATCCGGCCTCGGCGATCGCGCGATACTCGCGCGCGGAACGATCTCTCCCGCGTCACTCTCATATGGAGGAATCTAGAGGAAAATCGTTGCATACCGGTGGTAGTTAGGGGCTGCCCGTAATACAGTAATGAGGGCTTACTGCCATGGAAACCAAAGCCGCTTACAGCCAACCACTCTACCTCCACTTCACCCTCCCTCTCCCCGCTCGGTTCCTCTCGCTCTCACGCTCTTCGCCGTCCCATCCCATGATTCCCTATATATCCGCGATATCCTCATTCGCGAGTCCCTAAAAAAAATTCCGGGAATCGTTTCTCAGGTCTCTATTGTGCGCCGTGACGAGTATCTTGGATCTCTCCATTTTCATAAGTGGAAGAGGTCAATGTTGGACCGGCGCTTCGAGTCTCCCCGGTATCTTTCGAACAAGTGGACATCCAACACTTGCGTAGAAATACGCGTCAACGGAATTATTATCGCGTGTTTCGGTGGCAGGAGGGGAGAACGAAGGATGGTCGAAGTAAGTCGATGGGAGATTGGCGAAAAGAGAGGAGCGCGAGCGCCGTTTAGGGTCTACCGTCGGGCGAAGCCGCCGGGGAAGCCGCCGATATCGCAAACCCCCCGCAATTTCCTTTTCCAATTTGCCATAAACAAGTCGACCACCCACCTCGTTAACCGACTACGCCTGGCGACTGCTCTCTCGAAAGTTCGACTTTCGTCGG